TTTGTTTTCTTGAGAAATCACTTTGAAGATATCAATAAGTAATACACAACCATGGTCAATTTCCTTCAACTTTGTCTGTAACTCTGTTTGTGTGTATTTTTCCAATGTTATTTTGTAAATGGATGTCTGTTTGTTAATATGTTTTCCTTCTTTTATTTCTTTTTTTTTAGTTGCATGCATTATTTGTTTTTCCTCTTTTTTTTATTTTAGAAATAAAAGAAGGAAAATATTAAAAAGAAGGAAAATATTAAAAGACAGACAACCTCTTACAAAATAGCAAAAGAACCATACAGACAATACAGAGTTACAAACAAAGTGGTAGGAAATTAACAATGCTTCTTTTATTTCTTAAAATAAGAAAAAACAGGAATAACTCCTATCACTTAATACCAGGCAGTGGTGACTATGCCTGCCTAAGAGCGAGCACTGCCTATTGGAAACTTAGGCAAGTAAGCTAAGGCAATGCCTGGGACAGGTCATTTAGTAGACAACACCAGATAAAGTTGCATTAACACTTACAAGGAATACTGTATGGGAAAGTCTTATGTCCCACTCAAATTCTTCCCTGTAGATCCACTGAAAATATTCTAATAATATAAATTTGCCTCAACATTAATCATGGCTCTCCTTCATTAAGCAGTCCTGAAATGATTTATATCTGGATGTCCCCCCAAAACCTCATGAGCTCCCATATAGTGCTTTTGGAAAAAGACAGATTATGGGGGTTTTGTAGCTGACCTGCACTGAGAAGTATGATCTTGTTGGAAGAGATGGGTCAAGATGTTATCTGGAAGGTGTTGTCTGGAAGGGATTATCTCCCTCTACAGTCCTTTTCACTCTCTGCTTCCTGTCCAACATGATAGGAGCAACTATTCTTCTGCCATGCCCCTTAGGGGCAGTAGGCTACAGACTGAAACCTCTTACAAACTATGAGTCCAATAAACCTGTCCTTCCTTAGGTTGTGAATGTAGGGTATTTTGTGGGGTATTTTGTCCCAGCAATGAAGGAAATAACTAAGACAGCTGTCCATAGGGAACACATATACCTTGTGTGTTATTTTCTTTTGGTGAAGTAAGAAAGCGTTACAAATTTTGTGGCTTCAAGCAATCAAATTTATTATTCTACAGTGTTTAAGACTGACATTCTAAAATATGTTCACAGGGCTATCCTCTTTCTGGAGGCTCTACAAGATAAGCCATTTTCTTGTCTTTTCCAGTTTGCAGAGCCTGATTACATTCATTGGTTAGTAGCCCCTTATTCCATTTTCAAAGCCAACAGAGTAGCATCTCATCTCTCTGATCTCTGCCTACAACCTTAAATCTTTAATTGACTCTAATTCTACTGCCTCCCTCTTATGAGGACTCTCTGCTAATGCTAGACTCACCTATATGATCTAGGAAAATCTCTCCATACTAAATCGTGAACTTAATTGTTTCTGCTAAATTCCTTTTGTCACACAATATCTCATACTCACCGGTTCTGAGAATAAGGATGTGGATATTTTTGATGACTGAAAGTCTACCACAACTTGTGTGAACCATTACTTGTTAATTTTCACAGTATCACCACTACATATATCCACTTACAGATAAAGAAATTTGGGGTTGGAAAGGTAATATTCTGAACCTGACACAGCTTGAAAGGGACAGAGCCAAAAGTGGAAAATGTTGTAAGATGTGGACCCCAGCCTTATTTTCTCCCTTCTGTCCCTTATCTCCATCTCTTCTGCTCCTATTTTAAGTTAGCACAAACACTTGTATATTGCGTTTCTCTCAAGGGAGTAAAACAGACTACCCCTATAGGCAGATCCAGATAAGCTTTGGGAGGAAGATGCTTGTGAGAAGGCAGAAGGAATTTACGTAGTTGGAGAAGGGATAGAAAATACCTTAGGCAGAAGAAACACTGAGCAAAAGCAAAGCATGAATACACTTCAGATGGTACTACGTAAGAAGAAAATTAAATCAGATATTCAAGTACACTGGAGTCTATAAACGTTGGAGCCAACCTGCACTTAATCACCTCCTCCCCATTCTCTTTTTCCAGCCAGTCTCTGAAACTTTGCAAAGGTCATCCTTAAAATACCTTTCTGTCTCTCCATTCCCATGGCAACAGCCTTAAGGCTCACAGTCTTTCCTCCTGCTTCTCATTCTAATTGCTTCCTTTTGTGATCTGACAGGAGATAGTCTGCTCCTTTGTAAGGCTGCAGAAATGCAGATCTGATCCTGTCACTGCTCTTCTTAATACCGCCATGAATATATATTATAGTGAAGGCTTTTTTAATCCCTTACTATCCAGCACTTCAACATTAACTGTGTTACCCAGGTCCTAGATATGATATTAGATATACGTAAATGCTTCTTGAAAATAGGTGAGTAAATGAAAGCGCAGCATAAAACCCAGACAGGAAAGGGTGGCCAGCTGTTTACTTGTAAGAATAAAATCCTCCTGGAGCTTTATCCCTACTCCAGAGCTAGCTTTGAGGGCAAATGAAGCAGAGACCCACTGCTTCCCCACACCTGCAAACCAATCTTGCAATGTCTGTGCTAGAGGAATGAACGCAGAATCTCCATGCTGTTCTTTTCTCCAGTGCAAACTACACCAGTCCCTAGAGGTCATTTCTCCCCTTGTCAAATGGCTGCTGTAGCCTGCTCCTTTTCATACTGTCTACCAGAAGTCCTCTTGGGGGACCAGACCACTTCCTCAATGGTGTTTGACTTGTGCCAGGCAGAAGAGGTGGAGCCAATACCTCTGAGCTTGGTGGCTGGCTTGCAGCTTGGCAAGTATTGGCAGCGACTGCTTGAGTGAGTCAGTTTGCATGAAAATAAGCTTTGTGAATAAAAACGTCTGGTTTGTTACTACAAAGATTCTATTTGCATTGGTGTCTTCAGCAGCACCTCATTCTTAAGGTAGAGATTGTTGCTTTCTACAAAGGCTATAGGACTGCTGCAGGCTTTCAGTGCCTAGCAAGAGACATGCGTAGGGGACAGAAGACTAGATGCAGTCATAACACTAGGGCCATGGAAGAGAACTGCAACAATCGCAAGATCCAAGGCTCAGAGGTGTCTGAGACCCAGATGGATGGCTATCTCTGTGATGCCTAGCACCAGCAAAGATGACTTGAGCAGCCCCCAAAAGAACTGGAGCACTCCAGCACCCCTAAAGCAGCCTCTAGCATTGCCTTGTGCAAAAGCCTTCGGTAGTGCAGAACAGTTTTCAGGGGACCAAGAAGTCTCCTCATGTTTGTATTAGCCCTCATCTTCATCATGGGGAATAGTGCCAAGGAGGCTCTGGTCTGGAAAGTGCTGGGAAAGTTAGGAATGCAGCCTGAGTGGCCGCACAGCACCTTTGGAGAACCAAAGAAGGTCATTACAGAAGAATTTGTGCACAGAAGTTACCTAATTTATAATCCACTGCTCTGCAGCAATCCTGTGGAATATAAATTCTTCTGGGGTCCTTAAGCACATGTAGAATCCAGCAAAGTAAAAGTCCTGTATTTTGTAGCAAAGGTTTGTAACCGATGCTCCAAGGACTGGCCAAGAAATTATTATTGGGATTCAGATGATGATGCAGAACTTGAGGCTATCCTAAATTCAGGTGCTAAGGGATTACTCCCCCAGGGAAGTCTAAGTTTGGAAAAAAGAGAGTCCAGGAGTAGACGGCCAGGATCCTGAGTTTCAAGTAACATACATTTACAGAGGGGGGCTGTATTTTATATTTGTGATTAGTGCTAATTGTTTAATTATAAAATAGAGTAGTTTTTGGATATTGTACACTTGTATTCATTTTATAAAACTGTTGATTAAGGGTCACAATATGTTTCATATGTAATTGAGGAATTTTTTTTTTTGTTTTGCTGTCATTGAGATTTGTTGTAACAATTTTTCTGTTATGAAATGCAGTCATTGCATCATATTCTGTGATGTGGCCCAAAATTTTATCATTCAAATGGGTTACTCTTTGAAAGTTTGACATAACTAGGAAAACGTGGGAGGGAATGAGGGAAAACTTCCTACATGACCTTTCTGAAACCCTTTGTTTCTGCTCTCTTATAAACTGAGGCTTTTCATGATTTCGTTTTAGTTACTGAAGAATATAGAAAAAACACTAAAAGCCATAATGACTAGTACACCTTGTTTCTTTACTGACTGCCTGTTCTTCAGGTAGAGATTGTTACATGAGGAAGAGGTATATATTATGGGCTATTTCTTAATATAGAGCGGCCAATTCCAAAGAATTCTCTAAATACTGTGGGAGAAAAAATTATATAAACTGGCACTACTATAAATGCTGGGATAAAGAATGAATATGAGGTACAGGAAAATGTAAAAAAAAACTTATGTGAGGAGTACATGGGAAGAGGGAAGAGGGAATAGAGCATCAATTGAAGAGATAAAGAAGCTACTGGAGAATCGAAAGGGGCATCAAAGTATACTATGAAATTATTTTGTACTGAGCATTTTATTTGATACTGAATCAAACTTGGAAGAGGGTCCTTAGAAAACAGACGGGGAAGCCATTGCTTGCTGTGAAAATAGTAATATAATTAAAGGAGAAGAGGAGGGCAGCACGAAAGGGTGGTAAAAGGGCTATCATGGGGATACTAGAGAAATAAATAGGAAAAAACTGTCAGAAAACTCTCAGTGAGATGACAATCTAAGTTCTACTAGTAATATGGGTGATGAGGATAGAATAAATATGGAGGCACTGAAGGCATCCTACACATTTGGCAAATACCAAATTTTTCACCAAAACTTCTACCAAGGGGAAAGTGGAGAATAAGAAATGAGGCAGGAGAGAAGGTGGGCAAAACCTTGAGGTTGTCTCTGCTGACTTTAAAGTAAAGATAATCAAATGATTAATAATGATGGTGACCCTGGAATAGTGAGTGGGAAGGAGTCTTCTAATGTAGCAGATCTTGAATATTAGAAGAACCAGGTGGAAAAGTTTACTTAACCTGTGGTATCTCTGAAAGGTAACCTTGGACTTCTCTGAGGGACTGTAGTTTATTACAATACACACATTGTTTAGAAATGTTTCTGTGTGCTGTGCACATGTGTGTGAATGTGCATGCATGTGTGTGTGTACTTACTCCCTCATGTGTTTGCATCTAGGGTGCAGGGCAAGGTGGTATTAGCATTTTTACTTTCCACTTCGGCCAGTTTGGTAAGTCCAAAGGGATCCCTTGCATCGTGGTTCATGGTGTACTACATTACGTGGGATCAGGTTTTTCTTTGAACCCCAAGAGTTTTCCCACTCTCACTTGAGTTCAGGGAGTTCAATGCCATTCTCATCCATTCTATCACAGGGGCTTCTGAATCCTTGCCTTCACCATGCAGCACATCTGAAGCTGTGAGAGTCACCTCTCCCATTCTATCAGCTACAGGCTGAGAACAATCACAAGAAAACTGGTGCACACCCAGATCCTTCTACACTTACCTCAAGAGGTAAACACTGTATGAACTGAGGTAAGTCCCTTAATGGGAAGCATGGAGAACAGGTGTTTAACCTAGTCTTGTGGAGGTCGGGGTGGCAGCTGCCACACAGCAGAGTGGCCAGGCAACCCTCTTTTTTACCTTCAAGTCAAGTCCGGAAGCAGAGTAAGCTAGCAAAGGGATTTTTGGCAAAGGGCAAGGAACCCACAGTCGTCAGTCCACAGGCTAAGGAGGCTGCAAACAAAAGTACTGGCTGTGAACCCTCAGCAACTCCAAATTCATTCAACAAGTGAGCAAAATGTTTTTTTTTTTTTTTTTTTGTGGTTTTTCTCCGGTACCGGGAACCGAACTCACGACCTTGCGCTTGCCAGGCAGGCGCTTTTGCCACTGAGCTAAATCCCCAGCCCCAAGTGAGCAAAATGTGAGGAGTTTCTATGGCTCAGGCAGTATGAGAGGACTTGAGCATAGAAAATCAAAAGGTATGTTTCTTGCTCTGGAAGGACTATATTGGTCAGTCTAATTCCAGAGACAGACAAGCTGAGAATCTGAGATGTAGGTTATTAGGTGACCTTCCTTTCTAGAGACACCGGAGTGTCAAGTAACAGATCCTAGGCAAGACTCCATGTCCATTCCCTGTAATACCAGTGGGCTTTCCTCCAGGCCACCCTTCTGGTCTGTCTGCATCTGCCAGTGCACTCACAAGGTCTCTCTCTTCAAAAGAAACATTAAATTTTGGGCTGCAGCCTCTATTCTTTTGGGGCATGAAACCCATTTCACTTCTTTCCCTTTTACAGAAGGGAGCACAGGGAAATCACTCTGCTTCATGCAAGTTAGCTAGGAAATGAGAGAGCCGGCAGAGCAAATGTTTCTTGAGCACCCCTTTTGTGCCAGAGACATGCTACATATTATCTCTTGTCGGGTCTGTGTGATGACCACCCATTTTACAGAAGCACCAGCTAGCCCAGGGGGAAACATTATGTCCTTCCAAAATCTGTCTGAATCTGTGAATTCTTTGCCTCTGGTGAGAATAAAGATCCAAATGCCTAGCACTATTAATAGCAAGTGGAAAGACTAATGTGCAAGGTTATGGGCTGTCTGTTCCACTTGAAAGCTGGGCCAGCCTTCAAAGGATGGGTCTGATGCAAGCAAGTGATGATCACAGGGAGGTCCTACTCCTCAACCTCAGAACACAGCTCATGCAGTGAATTAGTAGTGCCTTACAGGAAACTGGGGCAGGTGCCAAAACATACAGACTGTGGCTTCCATGTGGTCACTGCAAGCAGCTCTGCTCCACTGGGTAGGCTGGTTAGTGAGGTCTGTCTGGTGTATAATAGATGCAGAACAGACACAGAGGCTCAACAATTGGGCAGGTGCCTGACCTCAAGTAGCTGAGTTTTGTGGATGGGTTGTGGATGGGTTGGTGCCTGACCTCAAGTAGCTGAGTTTTGTGGATAGGTTGCGCTTTGAAAGCGCAAAATGCCTCCCAGAGGACTACCCAATCCAGATCCTCCTTGTGATCATAGCAGATAGCATCAATCCTTTACATATTTGGGAAAGAGTGCGAAGATGACAGAATCAAGGGGACACACAAACACACACACACATACAGCCTTGTGTACATAGCGACACACAATCACAACACCTTAAAGAGAAAAGTGAGATTGTATGTGTGCACATGGATGTGTATCCAAGAGTCTAAGTTATACTTTCCCAAGTGGCCTTGTGGCCTTGTGGCCTTCGAGCTTCATCACAGTTGACCATATTCCAAAAGACTTATTGTGCCAGCCAGGAAATGAAAAAGGCCTTTAAGTATTTGTAACTCCTGGTACATGATCCAGTCCTCCTCTTTACAAAGCATTCAAGGCCCTCCTGCATACACAAAGTTAACACTGCTAAGATTCTCTCTGCCAGCCCTGTGTGATGAATTTCACTCCTTTCTACGTTGCCTTCAGCACATGGATAGGAAAAACCAACACTGTGAAAATGGCCATACTCCCAAAATTGTTGTACAGATTGATTGCAGTCCTGATCAAAATACCATTAAAATACTGCACAGATCTGCACTGCTAAAGGTAATGGCCAATTTTCACTACTCATTAGCATTTGGAGCAGAGTGGATATCTGTGTCTCTCCTGACAGTTTTCCTCACACAGTTCCCACAATACTCTTGGTTCTCCTTTGTATATCACTGGGCATAACTACTCTATCACTTCAGATGGTGCCTCCTCTTCTCCCTGATTCTATTATACTACAGAGCTCTGTTCAGGATCCTTTGAACTTCTTTATGTACACTGACTCCTGAAGCAAAGCTCAGGTAGCCTCATGGATTTTTAAGTGTCATCTACATATCTGAGACATAGACCATTCAGCCAAATCCCTGATTTATAAATGCAACTGCTTATTCAATTTATATGGATGTCAAATGAACATCTGAACTCAACATGTGGGAAATAATTTTACATACCAGCAAGGTGAACCTTCTCACCTTCTCCATTTCGTTCCTCCAATGTCATCCCTCCCGATGAATTCTACTCTGGCCACCCTGAACTATGGAACAGAACATTCTGTTTCTGCCCCAGTATTCCCAAGGATCTACTCCTTCTTGTTCAGCTCTGTTATCACCACCACCACTCCTGTACCTGAAGTGATTATCACCATCTACCTTACTAAATGATTTGTTATTAATTTGTTGTTATTTTATTTGTTATTTTTTGTTAGTTGCAATTTTTATTTTTTTATTTTAAAAATAAAAGGACGAAAACATTAACAGACAGACAACCTTTTACAAAATAGCAAAAGAACAGTACAGACAATACAGAGTTACAAACAAAGATGTACGAAATTAACAATGCTTGTTGTATTACATATTGATATCTTCAAAGTGCTTTCTCATGAAAACAGAGATATGCAATATTGATCAATCAAGAACTCATTAACAGTTTCTTTCAGCAAAGAAATAGAAGACAGTA